GAGGAGGAGGCGGAGGACGAGGAGGAGGAGGAGGAGGAGGAGGAGAGAGGAGAGGAGAGAGGAGGGGTCAGGACCGTTGTTTTCCACGGCAGGTGCAGGCGGGGTGGGTGCGCGAAGCTCGGCGTCGCCGGGCCTGGCGCGGCGGGGCCAGCCGCAGGCCGCAGGCCGCACCTCGAGCGCCTTTAGCGCGCTCGCGCCGCCGAGCGGCGGCGTGGGCTACCCGGGCGGCGCCTCCGGCGCCGCCGTTTGCGCGTTCCGCGCCCCAGGGAAGGGGGTTCAGCGCGGATCCAAGAGATCTGCGCGGAGCGCCAAACGTTTATGTTTATGGTTGCTTATGGCGTTTTTTTTCTTTATCTTGTTCTTCTCATTCTTATATTATTATTGTTATTATTATTCTACGTTCTCCATGGTCGACTACACGTAAGAGTGACTATTTGCCAGAGGGACTTTTGGTGCCCACCCCATGGGGCCCCCCGATCGCTCAGCGCGGGGCGCTGGCAGCGGCTTGCGCGCTCAGGTTTGGCCACCCCGCGTCCCCTGGTGAGTCGCGCACCAGAGGTCATTCTTGCTTAGGATCACCCTTACGTGTACCGTGGAGAGCCATGCCAAGAGACAAGCCTTTCTGCTTACAGGGTGCCCTGGGTCTCTTGGGCTTCGATGGTTTTGCAGTGGACAGCGCCAAAAATCCATGGACCTCCCCGGAGGCCTTCGTCGCCACCGCTGGATTGGCCTCAATTCTTGTCAGAACGCACCCCGGGAAAGACCTGGAGAGAAACGGTATTGGTACCTTTTAGGTTCCCCAATTTTGCTCGAGGATGCGTCGTCAGCCGCATCGCGAGTACTGCTCGGCAGCGGCCCTGGGCCCAGGGGGTGGTGGCACGGATGCTTTGCCCATGTGCTGCACGCCTGTTCGCACTCTCGTGCTGCACGCGTGCTCGGGTGGGCAGCTGTCCCATGGAGAATAGTGTCCATGAAATGCGAGCTACAACATGCCATCGCACGACACAAAACTGCCGCAAGGTGAACACTGCTGGGAGATCACGAAGTCTGACGGCGAACTACGTGCGAACCATTGCCATGGATGCACTCGGTCTTGTAAAATCGTCCCGGAGTTCCTGGCGTTGGCGCCTCGAGAAAACGCAGATTGTCTTCGCGGACCTTAACCTCCGTCCGTCTTGTGTGAGATGTTCTGAATTACTCTTTCCTTGTGCTGGCGCAGGGGAAGCCCACCGGGCAAAGCTTGGAGCCACCCAGCGGCGCTGGAGTAATCCTTGTGAAGGGTGCTGCGGAGAAGAACGGGGATGACTTCACAGGACCGACTGCAGCGTTTCTTTGTCGCCACTTCGAGCCCAGGATCCGCCGACAGGCAGCCCGTTCTGCCCAGAGTGCGGGTCCTCCGCGGACTTGCGAAGGTGCTCGGTCTCTCCGCCCCTGCCGTTGCGTGTCGCCTCCCACTCCTGGATCGTGCACTGCTGGATGCTGTCGGGCTCGAGCGTCTGCTCCTAGATCCTGCCACATGCCACTGCAGTGCTGGTGCAGCCGCGGCGTTTGCCGGCTTCTGATCTCGCGCCCCCAGATGATGTCCAGCCATTGGCCGCATCCGCCTGGCCCCTCGCCTGCTGCAGCACGCGCAGCTCTCCTCGTGAGCCAGCTCTGGCTCGGCTTCGGCGTGGGTGGCCCGTCCCCTGGACGGTCTCGAGCACCTCGGCCTCCTCCGCGGCCCGTTGTCCTCTGGTGTGCCCTCGTCGGACCGCCCAGCGCCGCGGAGGCACGCATTCGACGCGCATTCGACGTTGCACAACCAAAACATGCAGCATCGCAAGAAGTCTCGACCGGAATCGTTCTGCGTTGCTTTTCGAGCCGGGTCGATCTGTGAGGGCTCCTGGGGCCCGAAGTGGAGCGAAAACGCCCGTGGCGAAGAGCTTGCATAATAACGCCAGGATCTCAGGGCCCCGCAGCCCCCTGGCACGTCCCAGCTCCGCCAAGCCGCTCTGCACGCCGAGCGCCTCGACCGCCAGCGCCTGCGCCACCGCCCGCGCCGCCCGCCCGCGCTCGCGGCCACGGCTGCGCCCTGAGAGGCGCTGCGCGCGCGGCCGCAGCGAGTGGCGCAACGAGCGGCCCTCGGCATCGCTCGGACGTGTTTTTCCTTTCCTTCCGCGAGGACCATCGAGGAGCATCTGGGGCCATCTTGCGAACCAAGAAGCACGCACGAAACCGAGCAAAATCATTGGGAAGGGACGTCCGAGCGATGGCCAGACTCTGCCGGACCCGCCTGCCAGAGGCGCCCGCTGCAGCGAGGCGGCCCTCGAGGCACTGTCGCGCCGGCGCTGCCCTGGGCGCCCGTCCTGCTCCCAGGGCCGAGGCCCCTAGAGCAGAAAGAGACCACGGCGGAGGAGGGAGGGAGGGAGGGAGTGAAGGCGGGAAGGAGGAAGGATGACGAGGAGCGTGCCTCCCTCCTCCTCCATCAAGGAGGTGGGGGGTAGGAGGAGGCGGACCAGAGGGCGGAGGATGGGGGGGGATGGAGTCCGCGGTGGAGAGGGGGGGAGGGGACGAGAGTTTACCCCGCAGATAGCCAGATTAATTAGCGTTTCGGAGGGGCCACCTGTAGATCTCGGAGTTGTCTGTGCTTTTGGCTGACCTCTTGCGCGATGCGCGGTCTAGCGCGGGAGGGAGACACAGGAGGATGAGGACGGGGTGGAGAGGAGGAGAAGGAGGAGGAGGAGGACGGGCTGGCGACAGGACCCGACAACGCGGACAAGTTAAAGAGCATGTTTCTTATCCAGACAAAAATATGATTATTCACTGCGTGGAGCTCCCCAAATCTGCATCTGTTCGCATGGACCTGTTCGCCTTAATGTCTAGGCGCAAGGGCTTTCGACTATAAACGAGCTTCATTGTGACAATCTGGTCATGAATCTAACTGCGGAGGAATTGAAGTGTGAATGAACCTCAGTAGTACGGGCGCGTCTCTGCGCATGAGCCTTGGGGCTCCTGGGGTCTCCTGAAACCTACTGGGGCTTCCTGGGACCTCCAGGAGCCTCTTGAGGCCTCCTGGGGCCTCCTGGCACCTCTTGGGGAGGATTCGTGCCCCAGGAGAGGCCCAATCTATAGCAACAGACGTTCATAAACCATTGCGGATTGGAGCCGCAGGAGAAGGGCAATCTATAGGAACACGTAAAACACCAAGGATTCGTGCCCCAGGAGAGGCCCAACATATAGGAAAATAAGTAAAGCATTGAGGATTGTGTACACAGGAGAAGGGCAATGTATGGAAACATACGTATAACATCAAGGACTCGTGCTCCTGGTGATGCCCAATCTATGGGGGCATACGTAAAACATATGGGATTGGAGCCACTCTTGTTGCCTTTTGAGGCCTCCTGCTCCTGGGGCCTCTCGAGGCCTCCTGTTGCCTTCCGAGGCCTCCTGGCGCTTCCTGTGGCCTCCTGGTGCCTCCTGTGGCTTCCTGAGGCCTCCTGGAGCTTCGTGGGGCCTCCTGGAGCCTCTTGGGACATCCTGTGGCCTCTTGAGTCTTTTTGTAGCCTCCTGATGCCTCCTGGGACCTCATGTGGTCTCCTGGGGCCTCCTGGAGACGGGACCGCGCAATATCCTTTGGCGGCTCCCCTCAGGGGCGTGAAAATGAGCGCCTCGCTCGAGACTTCCTCCAAATCTGCTCCGAAAGCGAAGGATATTGGGACAGAAAACAGGCAAACTGCTTGAGACATCCCTTTCACAACGGCCGCGAACGGGACGGTGCAACACCCTTCGGCGGCTCCCCTTAGGGGGGGGAAAATGAGCGCCTCGCTGGAGACATCCTCCAAATCTGCTCCGAAAGCGAAGGATGTTGGGACAGAAAACAGGCAAACCGCTTGAGACATCCCCACAAAATGGCCGCGAATGGGACCGTGCAGTGCCCCTCGGCGGCTCCCCTAGGGGTGCTGAAACCAGCGTCCCGCTTGAGACATCTTCACACTCTGCTGTGTGCTGAGAAAGTCAGACAATGAGCAGCTCTGAGTATGAGGAAGTCTGGGTATGAGTGAGTCTCAGCATGAGTAAGTGTGAGTATGAGTAAGTCTGAGTATGAGTAGATCTGTGTATGAGTATGTTAATCTGACCAGGTCTGAGTATGAGTAAGTCTGTGTATGAGTAAGTCTGTGTATGAGTAAGTCTAGGTATGAGGAGGAGGATGAGGAGGAGGAGGAGGAGTAGGAGGCGTCCAAGTAATAACAAGAACCTCATCTTAGGATATTGCGATGTTCAGAACAACATATCCAAACGGGTAGCACGACGTGCTGTCTTTTCTGAGCAGTTGCGGGACAACTCGTGGTTACGTGTGCTTGGCACGATTAGTCGCGACTTATCCCGTTGAGGCTCGAACGCGTTGTTTGTTTGCGCGCAACTATGCATGGATTTGCTTCCGGACCAGATCTTATGCTGAAGGGTTTTGGGTTTGACGCAATCAGGTGTTGCGTGGAGTTTCCAGGATGTGTTGTCCACCCTACGGGGGCGAACGTGTTCCGACACTGGTCGATACAGACCGACGTGTACCGATCTGTTACATTGCCAGGCTAATGCCCCAATTCGTGTTGAACTGATGTGCGGTGAAATTGAAGAGGTTTCGACGCTTATGCACTACTTTTGCAAGTTTGCAACATAATGCACATAATTGCGCAATCCAAAACATGTCCCGTTGGTTAGGCTGACATAGAGTTCAGTGCCAATCGAATCCATGATTTCTCAATTGTTGTTTGGGGAGTCGTCGTGCGGAAACCATTGTGCCCGATGAAGACGTCATAGTGGGGAGGTCGGGTGGCGCCATGGCCAGTAATTTGCTATCACCTTCTCTCCATAACATGTTTTCTCTACCGTAACGCCCGACCGTATGTGGGGATTGTCACATCTTATTATGTTAACCTTGTTATGTCCCTCATGTTACCTCCACCATGACCGCCGCCGCTGGTATCGCCAGACGGCTGCGCCCCCGTCGCCCCTGTTTGCAGGCCGGCCCTCAGCTCGTCCAGATGTTCATCGGAGACGGAGCGAAGATCGTCCGGGATGCTTTCACGCTCGCTAGGGAGAAGGTCGCCATCTTTCTCGTGAGCACATGTGGGTTTCATGGGATGTGGCATGGTGTTTTTTTATGTTCGTTTCCAGTGTGCGTCCATTCTGCGGACGGGCGTCACGTGCCAGAGCATGAGCGAATCATGGAGGTTACAGGGGGAATGAGTCACTCTGCCGTGTGACCAGCAGTTGAGCATGATTATGCAGAGCAGGGGCATCTATAGAGGTCTCCGCACGCGCCATGAATACCCCCTGTCCTATTGGAAGGTGGCAAGAGGAAAGGGGCGGTTCGGGTGCCTGCGCCAGCAGTGGAGGCGAGGTTTCGGAGCGGGTGGCTTCGTGCGTTGGAGACGAAGGGTGTCGTGTAGTGGGTGTCGCTGTGTAGATTGAGGCTGTTGAGTAGTTCAAGTTCGGCTTGGGGAGGGGTCCTGTTGAGTAGTGGGTGTTGTGTTGGAGACGGAGGCTGTTGAGCACTGGTCTGTTGTGTTGTAGACGGAGGGCGTTGAGTATAAGTTGATTTTCAAGTTCGGCTTGGGAAGGGGGCCTGTTGAGTAGTGGGTGTTGTGATGGAGACGGAGGCAGTTGAGTACTGGGTGTTGTGTTTTAGACGGAGGTCGTCGAGTATAAGGTGACTACCAAGTTCATCTTGGGGGAAGGACCTGTTGAGTAGCGGATGTTGTGTTGGACGTAATGGTTGGTTAGTGTTGGGTGTTGCGTTGTTGACGGAGGGCGTTGAGTAGACCATTATTTTCAGTTTCAGCTTGGTCCGGTTGAGAATTTTGTGTTGTGTGTGAGACGGAGGCTGTTGTGTATTGGGTGTTGTGTTGTAGACGGGTTGGTTAGAGTAGATGGTTATTTGTGCGTTCAGTTTTGGACGGTGTTTGTTGAGTATGTGGTGTTGTGTTGGAGGTAATGGCAGGTTCGTGTCGGGTGTTGTGTTGTAGACGAGGGGTAGAGTATAAGGTTCTTGTCAAGTTCAGCTAGGGGAGGGAGCCTGCTGAGTAGTGGGTATTTTGCTGGAAACGGAGGCTGTTGAGTAGTTGTTATTGTGGTGTAGACGAAGGGGTTAAACTATAAAGGTATTTTCAAGTTGAGCTTGGGGAAGGAGCCAGTTGAGCAGTGGGTGGTGTGTTTGAGATGGAGGCTGTCGAGTACTGGGTGTTGTGCTGTAGACGGAGGGGGGAAGTAGGTCATCTTCCCATGTTCAAGCTCATTTTGGGAAGGGACTTGTTGAATATTGGGTTCTGTGTCGGATACTGAGGCTGTTAAGTACTGGATGTTGTGTGGAAGGCGGGGGAGAATGGGGTAGAGTAGATGGCGATGTTAAAGTTCAGCGTGGGGAGGGAGCCTATGGAGTATCGGGTGGTGTTTTAGAGACGGGGGCTGTTGAGTACTGGAAGCCTCCTCACCGGGGCTGCAGACCAGGCAGTGCGACGCGACCAACCACCACGAGCAGGCCCATGTCATGGGCTGTAGGAAGCGGCTGCACCTGCAAGGGGCGAACTTCACTCGGAACTTGAGCCGAGAAAACCTTTCACGAAAGAAGCCTCGAAGTGGAGTGCGAACAGCGTGGGAATCATGTATAAATGCATGTAGGGAATGCACAAAGGGGTTTTATGGTGCGTGCGGAGGGCTACACTGCCATACATCTATATTATATACACATACCTGTACATATACATGCTGTAAAACTCCACTCCTTGTTGAGCCTTCTGCGCTCATGGCGGGCGAGACGCGTGGAGAAGAAAAGATGGGCGTGGATTTCAGCATTTACGTTGTTGTCCTTCCCTTCGCCATCTTCCTAACATTCCTGCTGCCGCATCCCCCCCGCCATCCTGCTTCCAGATGAACTCCCACCCCTGCTGCATCCCTCTCGCGGCAAGTCTCCTGCCATCATCTTCATCGACGAGCTGGACGCCATCGGCCAGAAGCGCTCTGGCGGCGGCGAGCTCTCAGGCGCCCGGCCCGCCTCCCCCCCGAAGCCCTGCCCTTTCGCCCGGACCTGGGCGGGCCGAGCTCGTGCAGCACATACGGGTGGCACGGATGACGAACGCTTCCCACACGTGTTTGGACCTTGTCGATGTGGGGTGCATGCGCCATACGGTGCGGTTTTTAATACATGTTCCGCGTGCGGATCATGTGTGATAAATGCAGGGACTTAGTATGAAAAACAATGATGAGTTCACGCATACATTTAGGCATAAATCAATATTGCGCTAAGATCCCATATTTTTCAAACATCCTATGTATTAAAAACTGCCCTGTAGGGATCAGGGCCCCGAGTCCCCGTGCCTGCTCTCTGTAGCGCACCAGCCACGACCGGGGAGGAAGGGGAGGGATTGGGCAGCACATCTGTCCGCTCGTGGTGGGTAGTGGGGCGAGCGCTCGCGATGTTAGGCGCACCAAGGCTTTATCCAAGTCGTGGCAAGGTTGCCCCCCCCCACACCACACACACACACACCTTCGCCTGTCCCCGGACGGCTCCGATGTTCAGAACGAGAGGTTCTAACATGACGCTTTCCCGCGTTGGCGGTACGAACGGTGTCTGGTCCTGGGTATCTGTCTGTTCGTGCCAATGTTACCCATCGAAGTATTCCCCGCGCTCTATGCGTGTCCGTCCTTATGTGTGCGTGTGTGTGTGCGTGTGTGTGTGCGTGTGTGTGTGTGTGTGTTTGTGAATGTATGTATTTGTGTGTATGTGTGTGTGTGCGTTCTTGCGTGCGTGCGTGCGTGCGTGCGTGCGTGCGTGCGTGCGTGCGTGCGTGCGTGCGTGCCTTCGTGCGTGCGTGCGTGCGTGCGTGCGTGCGTGCGTGCGTGCGTGCGCGTGTGTGTGTGTGTGTGTGTGTGTGTGTGTGTGTGTGTGTGTGTGTGTGTGTGTGTGTGTGTGCGTGTGCGGACTTCTCTGTGTGTGTGTGTGCGTGCGTGCGTGCTTGTGTGTGTATGTGTTTGCGTGCGTTCGTGCGTTTGAGTGTGTGTGTGTGTGTGTGTGTGCGCGGACTTCTCTCTGTGTGTGTGCTTGCGTGCGTGTTTGTGTGTGTGTGTCTGTGTTTGCGTGCGTTCGTGCGTTTGAGTGTGTGTGTGTGTCTGTGTGTGTCTGTGTGCGTGTGTGTGTATGTGTGTGTGTCTGTGTGTCTGTGTGTCCCCATGCATGTCCGCTGTTCCTCCTTGCCGACTTTCTCATCCTTCCTCTTACCTCCTCTTCCTCCCTCGTCTTCCCGGGCCCGCGGGCCAAGCCCATCACACACCCCTTCATGAGCGGACACCTTGCGAAAGCACCTGTCTACCCACCCACTTTCCTCCGTCCTCTGACTCTCCTCCGTCCTCCTTCCTCCTCCCCCTCCTCCTCCTCCTCCTGCTTGTCCCCTCCTCCTCCATCCTCCTTCCGCCCTCGCCCTCCTTCCTCCTGTCTCTGCTGCACGAGGAGGAGGAGGAGCAGGAGCAGGAGGAGGAGGAGGAGGAGCTGGAGGACGAGGAGGAGGAGGGGAGGGAGGAGGAGGAGAAGGAGGAGGAGGAGGGAGGAGGAGGGGGAGGAGGAGGGGGAGGAGGAAGAGGAGGAGAAGGAGGAGGACGAGGAGGAGGAGCAGGAGGAGGAGGAGGAGCAGGAGGAGGAGGAGGAGGAAGGAGGAGGCCCTTCCTCCTCCGCCCTCGCCCTCCGGGAGGGGCGCCCGGACAGGGCGGCGCCCGGCCCGGTCCGGGAGCCGCGGGGCCAGGCTCGGCCACCCGCGGAGGCAGTGCAGCTTCGGGCAGCGCCCGCGGGCGTCGGTGCGCCCTCGTCGCGATGCCAGGCGCGGTCGGCGGTGCGCAGCTGTCGGCTGTGCGTAGCCATCGGTTTCGCGCTCGAGTATCCCATTGATCGTCACCCTAACTTGTCCTCGTCCTGGCCTCGTCTTGCCCCTATAGAGTATAGAGGTCTCGACCCATTCTCCTGGGACCGGTCTCTCATCCCGAGTCGTGTTCTGACGCGCCCGAGGCCTGGCAAGGGCCCCCACGAGGCCGAAAGTAGCGAAAAACGTTTCGTCGTGGTTTGTGTCATGACTCGAAGGAGTCTGGCCTTCGTCTTACCAATCGGTCGTTGAAAGTAGGTGTTTGTGGAGTTCCAGATTCCAATCTAGTTTAAGCGCCTTCCCACTTCAATGATCGAGTGGCTTCGCCTCTTCCATCATTCTGGGGGGACTGAGCCCAATATATTTTCAACGTCTTCCTACTTCATGCTTCTACCTACTTCTTCCGATCGATGGCTAACCACAGAGAGTCTTCGATGCTGACCAGGACCCCACCCCCTAAGACCTCGGCTGGCACACTCGTCCTTCCCTTGTGTCGTCCTTCTTATCCTCACGATCATCATCATCATCATCATCATCATCATCATCATCATCATCATCATCATCATCATCATCATCATCATCATCATCATCATCATCATGATCATTATCATTATCATTATCATTATCATTATCATTATCATTATCATTATCATTATCATTATCATTATCATTATCATCATCATCATCATCATCATCATCATCATCATCATCATTATCATCATCATCATCATCGTCATCGTCATCATCATCAGGAATCCTCATCGTCATCTCATCCATCCCCCCGATCATCAGCGGTGGCCGCCGCGTGGGGATCATAGTTTTCCCAGTATGGATGGGGGATCCAGTCCATCAACCGGCCCCTGCAAAAGATAATCAGCTAGCCAGGATTTGAAGAGTGACCCTTCGCTGGAGTGACTTTGTGGCGCGCGGCGATCTCCTGACGCGTGCAAATGTGACCTTGGTCCAGAATGGCCTTTGGCGCGGACCCACGCGGGGGGTGGGGGCAGCACTGGCCCCGGCACTTGGGCTTGGGCCCTTCGCTGCCCCCGTGGAGCCGCGCTCCAGAGGTCATTCCGCTCAGGGTCACTCGTGCGCTTCGCGTTCAGTCGGGCCTGTCCCTCTACAGGAGGAATGCCCCAAAACGGTTTTGAGAAGTCTGCGGACGATCCTTCGACTGTTTCCGATCATTCCTGATCCGTTTTTGGGGTCATGCTCCATTTCTCTTCCGGCTTCCGCCTGTAGGAGGACATGCCCGACTTGAGGTTCGCGCGCGGTTGGCCGACCTCGGCAGCCGGCCTCGGCTCGCGCAGCGCCCGCGGCAGCGGGCAGGCCGCGCACGAACGGCTACGCGTAAGTCTGGCACGTCCTTCTGCAGGGGGGATATCGGAAATGGGAGCATATACACTGCGAGTGGCGGGCGGTTATTCAATCCCAGGTCTTTTTTGAGGGTCGGGGACGACGTCGGGTGGTGTGGAGTATATTCAGTTTCCCCGTTTTCCGGGGGAAGCAACGAAGAATGTATACACCAGGATCCTGTGTGGACCAGGATCCGCTTTCCTGTGCGAGATTCAGTGTGAGGCCAGACGAAGGCGTCGGTGTATGGAGTTCGGTTCCGTAGAATATTCAAACATAAGCGTACAGGGGGCGATGTTTCTATCATTTGATCGCTTCGCGCATTCCGCCGGCCCATATTGCGAGAGTGAGGAGGAGGAGGAGGAGGAGGAGGAGGAGGAGGAGGAGGAGGAGGAGGAGGAGGAGGAGGAGGAGGAGGAGGAGGAGGAGGAGGAGGAGGGTGGATGAGCATGAGGAGGAGGCCTCTCGATGGCTTCTTGAAGCATTGTGCTGCCAAACTTGGTCGTGGAGAAGAGGTGCCTCCGTGGGGCTTCCTGGGAGCCTCTTCGAAGCTTCTTGGGAGCCTCCGGGGGGGCCTCTTGGGCCTCTTGAGGGCCTTCTGGGGGCCTCCGTGGGCCTCTTGAAGGCGTGTTGGCGGCCTCTTGGAGCCTCCTGGGGACCTCTCCGGGCCAAAAACTTGAGATGTCCGTTCGGGTGCCCCGTCTGGGCTCGCTTTTAGAGCCGTCTTGGGGGCGTCTTGGGCCATCTTGGAGGTCTCTGGGACTGTCTTAGGGGCCATCTTGGGCCCTCTTGAACTTTTCTTGGTGGCTTGTTGGGCCTTCTTGGGGCGATCTTGGGGGCCTCTTGGGCACATTTGGACGCTGTGAGCCCCGGACGTCGCATATGCGAAAATATACGTTTTCCCCTGGGAATGGGTCGATTCTTGCTTGTTGGAGCCCTCCTGGAGAGCCTCTTGAGGCTCTCTTGGGGCTTCTGGGCGGCCTCGATGGCCGTGTGAGGGCCATCTTGGGCGTCTTGGACCGCTCGTTCGGTGACTCGGAGCGCTTTTGGGGCTGTCTTGGAGGCCTCAGGAACGGTTGATTCTATAGGTGGAGGACCTTCGAGGCCCTCTGAGCCAGAACGGCTAAGCTCTATATGAAGAGGGGGAGGAGGAGGAGGAGGAGGAGGAGGAGGAGGAGGAGGAGGAGGGGGAGGAGGAGGAGGAAGGAGGAGGAGGAGGAAGGAGGAGGAGGAGACAGGGAGGAGGAGGAGGAGGAGGAGGAGGAGGAGGGAGGGGAGGAGGAGGAGGAGGAGGAGGAGGAGGAGGGGCGAGGGGGGGGGGGCGGGAGGGGGAGGAGGAGGAGGAGGAGGAGGAGGAGAGGGGGAGGAGGAGGAGGAGTAGGAGGAGGCGGAGGAGGAAGGAGGGAGGAAAAAGGCGAGGAGGAGGAGCGAAAGGGAAAGGAGGAGGGGAGGAGGAGGAGGAGGAGGAGGGGAGGAGGAGGAGGAGGAGAGGAGGAGGAGGAGGCGGAGGAGGAGGAGGAGGAGGAGGAGGAGGAGGAGGAGGGCGGCGGAGGAGGAGGAGGAGGAGGGGAGGAGGAGGAGGAGGAGGAGGAGGAGAGGGAGGAGGAGGAGGAGGGAGGAGGAGGAGGAGGAGGTTAGGAGGAGGAGGAGGAGGAGGAGGAGGAGGAGGAGGAGGTGGAGGAGGAGCAGGAGGAGCAGGAGAAGAAGAGGAGGAGGAGGAGGAGGAGGAGGAGGAGGGTGGATGAGCATGAGGAGGAGGCCTCTCGATGGCTTCTTGAA